TGAGTCCAGCCTTGGCAGACAAAAGAAAAATGAGGAGGAACTCAATAGAGGAATGCTTTTGGAAGTCCTTGTCAAGAAATTCCAGTGGACTCTCGTATGAACATTTGAAAATTGCCCTGTTCTGACTTTTTTCTATTTCCCTGTCTAGAACTTGAAAGTGCTAATTACTATTGCCTTTACTTATCCTTCACAAAAAGAAAAAAATGAAAAAAAAAAGAGTTACGCAGCTTGGGAGTCTTTAGGTAGACCCACTGAAGGGGTACCCCAATTGCCTTACCCTGTGTCCCTGTTCAGGATGAAAGAAGCCAGAGCAGTCTGTGTCCCAATTCTCTATCCACAAGTTGGGTAACCCCTTCAGAGGTTGGTGTGATAAGAATAGGAAGTAGGAATTGGCTAGGCAGTTAGGGTAAAAAGACCCCAAAGAAAAGTAGCCAGTTTCTTGGCTAAGAGTCACAATGTCCTTGGACCTCTTAGCAACATACTCTGTTCCAAAGGCCAAAAATGTCTAAAGTATTTGGGAGCTTTTATATAATCTTTAAAAGATTTTAGGGAGATATGGGAGCAGTTAGAGGGGAGGAAGTAGGCATGGATTTGATCAAAACACCTTATATGCATGTATGAAATTCTCAATAAATTATTAAAAAAAATTCTGCCCTAGTAAAATTATGTGGGCCAGCCCAATCTCCAGAAAGGACTATTGATTTTTAGGGGTGATTCTAGTACTTCAGCTATTTGGGGGAGTCTTCTTTGTCTTCCACTACTGTGTGTGCTGAGGGCAAGCTCTTACCAGCTCTTCAGGGCAGAAGTGGCTGTTGCTAAACTCTTACTCCACGCAAAGGCAATAGGATGCAACTCTGGGTGGCCATGACCTCAAGAGGCTGTCCCCAGGCTCTGGTCAAAGCCACAGCATTGCCCAAGCACTACAGAGGCTCTGGCAGAGTGAATGGGGATAGCACGAATGCCTGTTTGATAGTATGCTCTAGAACCTGGGTGGGGCAGCTAATCACCTTGCCATAAAGTAGACCCACATTTCTTCTTAAACAGTTTCTCAGAAACACCACAATTAGTGCCTAGTGGATGACAGTTTGCATAAGGCTTCATGGAAAGATCGGGAAAATGATCTTACCCAAGGTCAACTCATCTATCTTTATCAAAGCCTGGCTGAGTGAGCATCATGCAGAGTCACCAGGATTCAGGGCCTCCTTCCAGGAACTCACAGCAACATGTTCATCATGTCACCATAACAACTGAAGGGAAGAACAGAGAGCCCTATGCCTGGGCCTCTTCTCCGGCCCACAAACCTAGATGCCCTAGGGTAACAGTTGGGACCCTGACATGAAGCTGGTGGGATGGTACAACATACAACTTCTTGAGAAAATAGAGTTGTCTCTGCATGTGTGGGGTCTGTATCTATAGGTTCAAGCAACTAAAGGGTGAACTTATTTTCCTCTTATAAATTGAATTTTTGTGCACTTCATACAATATATTTTGATAATATTTAGCTGGCTTCCCCTATCTGAACACCCTTACTACTCCCCACTCAACTTCCT